CTCAAGCTGCTGCGGCTGCCCCAGAACCAGATCAACTCCCTGTCACCCGAGCTGCTGGCCAACCTGACCGGGCTCAAGGAGCTGCACCTGGCCCACAACAGGCTGCGTGTCGGCTCCATCACCCCCGGCACCTGGCAGGAGCTGCAGGGGCTCAAGGTGAGGGAGAGGGCAGGGGGGTCTAGTGGTTGGTGGGGGGGCTGGTCTGGGAGCCAGGACTCGTGAGCTCGTACCTTCACGAAAGAGCCCTCTGGGAGCATGGCCGAGCCAGACTGGATCAGGACCACTGGCCAAGTAGACCTGTAACCTGGCTCTGAGAAGCCCACTATTAGATGCCTCAGCTGAAATTGTAGGAACCACCAGAGCAGGCAGATGTGGAATTCTCAGCTCCCCATGAAGGTCTCCTCCTACCCCCTAACCGGGTTTAATCCCCATTCCAGAACCGTTCTATCTGTGGACCTACCGGACTTGTCACCCACATAGGCATCCAGCCCCCTCTTTGAGCCTGTCTTTGAAGCCTCATTGACTTCTTGTGACAGGGAGTTCCGCCGGCTAACACCTAACACCCTGTCGAAAGGAGCAGTGCTTTGAATTTGCTCCCCTCTCCCAGGCTGTGTCTACATTGGCATCCCTTTCCGGAAAAGGGATGCTAATGAGACACTTTGGAATTGCAAATCCCCGGGGGATTTAAATATGCCCCATGGCATTTGCATTTACATGGCTGCCGCTTTTTTCCGGCTCGGGGTTTTTGCTGGAGAAAAGTGCCAGTGTAGACGCGATTCTCCGGAAGATCCCTTATTCCTACTTGAAAGCGGCAGCCCCAGTGTCTGACTCAAAGGCGTGTCCGGGGCCTGGCTGGGTGTCACCAGTGAGCAGAGCTGGAGAGCGAACACGCGGCCCTGAGAACTCTGCTGGTTAACCCTGCCCCTCCTGCTCCCCCAGCTCCTGGATCTCAGCCACAACGAGTTGTCCTACGTCCCCCCGGACCTGCCGGAGTCCCTGGAGTATCTCTATCTCCAGCACAACCGCATTGCCGTCATTGAGGCCGGGGCCTTCCGCACCGTCCCCGACATCCGGGCCATCATTCTCAGGTACCCGCCCCCGGCCCGAGGCCCTTCCAGGGCTGCTGGCTCACGGTAGGGTCAGGCGGAGCAGTGCGGGGGGCCCCGGCCCCTGGGGAGGCTGCAGCAGGGGCCCATGGGCGGGTCCCCAGGCCCCCCAGCCGGCACGGGAGCCCCGTCTCAGCAGAGTTTTCCACCTGCCCGCCCTGCACTTCCAGGTCCAACCGCCTGCTGCAGGCCAGCGTGTCCCCCGCGGCCTTCGCCGCCCTGGAGCAGCTGGAGGTGGTGGACACCACGGGGAACCCGGAGCCCATCAGCGTCCCGATGCCGCGGGCCAGGCAGTGGCTCAGTGCAGCCGGCACGGGAGCCCCGTCTCAGCAGAGTTTTCCACCTGCCCGCCCTGCACTTCCAGGTCCAACCGCCTGCTGCAGGCCAGCGTGTCCCCCGCGGCCTTCGCCGCCCTGGAGCAGCTGGAGGTGGTGGACACCACGGGGAACCCGGAGCCCATCAGCGTCCCGATGCCGCGGGCCAGGCAGTGGCTCAGTGCGAGCAGCTGGAGGTGGTGGACACCACGGGGAACCCGGAGCCCATCAGCGTCCCGATGCCGCGGGCCAGGCAGTGGCTCAGGGCTCCCCCGGGGGCCTCGCTGGACGGTGGCGGCCCCACACCGGCTCCGCCGCCCGCGC